CTGGCGAGGCTGTGTGGGTTGTGGCAGGTAACTTCAAGGACCGTTTAAAAGCATTTGATGCAAGCACGCTATCAGTGTCTACGCTTAGGCTGTCCGTCCGTGCGTTTGTCTACGCAACTGGCGCGAGCTTTCAACTTTGGTGGACGGACGGCCATTCAGCCCGCTCTCCATGCGAGGGCAAATGCACACACGAGGAAGTGTACCGCGGTGAAGTGTGTTAAGGAAGGAGGAGGCCGGAAGGGGGCGGCCGAGGGCGGGAGAGGGGGAGGGCCGCGGGAGGGGAGGGAGAGAGAGGGAAGAGGGCCGAGGGAGGGGAGGGAGGGAGGGGGAGCGGGCGAGGCCCACCGTGCCGACCCTGATCCCGTTTTCCAGCGTCGGGCGACATTCTGGCTGCTGTCAGGTTCTCTGGCCGCGGCCGTGAGCCCCGATGTGCTCGCTCGCCAGTCCCTCTTCTCTGCTTCCCTCTCCTCCTTTCCCTTCGGAGCGGCCTTCCCCCTATTCGCGTTCTATTCTATTTCCCGCGTCCGTGCCTCTCGCTCCTTCCGTCCCGTGTCTCATTTCTTCGTCTTGTTTCTCTATTCTCTGTTCTCTTGACACTTTTCTGTCTATTTTTTGCGTGTCATTTTCTTCGTAAGCAACCTTGTGACCGGGAAATACTTCTTGAGGGATTTCACAGACTCGAGTGAAACCAGGAAGGAGGGAAATAGCGATCGAAAACGCCGGGGAGGAGGAAGGAAAACGTGGAAGGAAATGTCGTCGGATTTCATTCAGGACTTGTTGGAAGAGAGAGAGAGAGAGAGAGAGAGAGAGAGAGAGAGAGAGAGAGAGAGAGAGAGAGAGAGAGAGAGAGAGAGAGAGAGAGAGAGAGAGAAGAGAGAGAAAGAGAGAGAAAGGGGGGGGCGGGTCATATAGCAATGACGTTTGTATTCCATTCATATTGGCGATGAATGAGATAGAGAATAGAGAGAGCAAGCATGAGAGAGAGAGAGAGAGAGACATAGATAGAATAGAGAGAGCAAGCATAAGAAAGAGAGAGAGAATGGACCGAGCGAGCCAAGCAAAGCCACGTGGATTCCAGTCGGGTTGGCGAACCAGGTGGGCGGCGCAGCGTCCCCAAGGCGAGATGTGGGCGTCACTCCTCGACGTGTCTCCTGTGTTCCGGGTGATGAGTGTGGGCGCGGAAGTGAGGGCGGCGATGACCTCTGCCACAATGGTCATGGCGAGGTCCCAAGGCCAGGCGTGCTATGTACTCCGGCGGCGGCGAGGTCATGCGAGGCTGTGACATCATCATCGTCGTCGCGGTCGTGGAGGGGGGGAGGAAGGGAGGTGGGAGGTGCGGTGGGTTTTCAGTTTTTTTTTTTTTTTTTTTATTTCTTGTTCGTTCAGTATTCGGTCTGTGAAACGTTCTCCGTGTCTTTGTCCATGTATAATTGTGTCTGTGTCTTTGTATCTGTCTGTCTGGTTGTCTGTGTATGTGTGTATGTATGCATGTGCGTTGGTGTGTGTGTGTGCGCGTGTGCGTGTGTCCGTCCATCTCTGTGTGTGTTATTTCTTCGTTTTGTTCTATTTTGGAGAAGTGCTGTGACATGCGCGGTCGACCCAGTGTTGTCAAATCGACGGTTTTCAAGGGAGGGCGACGCGAAGGGCCGCCCCGTTGACCTCGGGCGCCCTGGCACTCTCGGGGATATTTGTATGACCCGACACGTAACGTTAATTCCCGCGTGCTGTGTCACGTTTTATTTTTAGATCTGTTACCTGGGGGGTTCGGTTCGCGTTTTTGTTTATATGTTTATTTATTGTTTTGTATGTTTGTTCTGATTCGCGTGGAGGTCAAATGGCTACTCGAGAGGGGGAGATTTTTTTTATTTATTTTATTTTTTATTTTTTATTGTGATTATTATTATGTTGTTGTTTTATAAGCCGGCAAAAAATTGGCATGCAAGAGGGTTCGTTTTGTTTTCATGTTTTATTAATGTGGTTGAGGGGGAGACCAGTCACGGCCATGACACGAGGACTGCGCTCTCTCTCTCTCTCTCTCTCTCTCTCTCTCTCTCTCTCTCTCTCTCTCTCTCTCTCTCTCTCTCTCTCTCTCTCTCTCTCTCACACACACACACACACACACACACACACACACACACACACACACACACACACACACACACACACACACACACACACACACACACACACACACACACGTTCGTTCTCGGGGACAGTGAAATACTTCCCTTCATGTTGGTGCGCGAATAGGTTTAGCTCTGGAGGAAATAGTCTGAATTTCGCCTAGTTTTTAATTCATTTATAGTATATTTATTATGTAGTTTGTTATTTATTGTATATTTATCATAAGTTTATTATTTATTTCGTATTTATTCTGTGTTTGTGTAAGTCCTCTTAGTTTCGCCTCTAGTTATTTATTTATTTATTGTATATTTATCACATGTTTATTGCTTATTTCGTATTCCGTGTCGTGAGCGTAACCTTCCCTCTGTGCCCGCAGGTGTGCCGAGTGTGGGGAGGCGGGACGGGGACGGGGGTGTGCTGGGCCTCCTCAGCCGCCACGGTGGAGTCGCGAGGTGGGAGCTCCGGCGGCGCGTCGGGGGCTCTGCCGCCTCAGCCCCACTCCAATAACAACCCGCCCCCGCCGCCCCAACCGCAGCCTCCGCCGCAGCCTCCACAGCAGCCGCACCAGCAGCCGCCTCACCAGCAGCCTCACCAGGCACCGCCACAGCAGCAGCAGCAACAGCAGCAGCAACAACAACAGCAACAACAGCAGCAGCAGCATCCCCAGCCCGCCATCGCCGCGCCCGCCCTTCCAGCTGCCAACAACGCCCAGCAGCAGCACGCGCAGCCTCAGCCTCAGCCCGCGCCCAACGCGGCCAACGCCCACGCCCCTCACCTCCAGCAGCAGCAGCAGCACCAGCAGCAGCAACAACAGCAGGCGGCGGCAGCAGTCGTCGTAGCAGCCGCAGCAGGCGCGCCACAGCCCCACCAGGGCCCTCCTCCCCTCGCTGCGGCGGCGGCGGCTCCAGCGCACGTAGCAGTGCCGCACGCGGGCGTGCAGCAGCACCCAGCCGTGCCTCACCAGGCCCACACGCCCCCCGCGCACCATCCCGCGCTGGGTAAGTGTCCTGTCCGCCGTCCTTTGCCATAACACTTTCTCCGTTCCGTTCGCTCATATTGAACACACTTGCACCTTTTTATGCCCGATGCTATTAATCCCATTTGTAACCATGATAGCACGTGGTAACCTGGTCCGTGATCGTGTTGCAGTCGGCCACGCCCACTCGGTTCACGGCGGAGGCGGACACGTGTCCTCGGGCGGCGTGAGCATGTCGGTGTCACGGGTGCCGTCTCCGCTGCCGCCGGAGAATAACATGCCCGTCGCCGAGAACTGGTGCTACACTCAGGTACGTACACCTCTCCCTCACCTGCCCTCTCCCCTCTCCCTCTCCTCTCGCTCTCTCCTCCCTCTCTTCTCTTCTCTTCCCTTTCTTCTCTTCTCCTCCTCTCTTTCTCTCTCCCCTTTTCCTATCCCTCTCCCGTCCCTCTCCCGCCCCTCTTCCCCCTTTCCTCCTCCTCCTCCTCCCTCCTCTCCTCCTCTCCTCCTCTCACTTCCTCTGTCCCTTTCTGTCTCTCCCCCCATCCCACTCTTCCCCATCTCTTCTTTCCCCTCCTTCCGTCCTCTCTCTCTCTCCTCCTCTCCTCCTTCCACTCCATCTTGCTACCTCTCTCCCCCTCCCCCTTCCTCTCTTCCGTCCTTTCCCTCCATTTTCTCTTTCCTTCTCCCGGTCCCTTCCAAGTTCCCTTCTCATCCTTTCCGCTCCTCGTTCTTCTCTCCCCTTTTCGTATCCTATATCAGTATTCTATTTGTTCTGGTCGTTTCTTCCTTGGACTCGGGTTCCCCTTTCATTGGACTGGCGGATGGTAGTGGAGAGGAAGGGGGATGTTTTGGGCTCCGTTCTAATGATCTCTGACGCTCAAGTCAATAACTTCTTTCAGGGGGTCTGCGTTATAAGAGATTGGTTCAAGAAGGGAGTTCTAGGAGAAGGAAGGGAGCCTGTAGGCAAGTTCGGCCATCAGAAGAAAAAATAAAGGGGTTCAGGAGAGGGAGACACAGGCGGTGGTGAGTGGAAATTTAGGGAGGGATGTTTAAGGAGGGGGTCCGTTGCCATGGTGACTGATGGCTCTTGCTGCCTCTTTGCTTCTCAAGGTCACCCGTGAGATGCTCCTCCGCTTGGGGCTTGAGGGAGACGAAGCAGGGATGTGCAGGTGGAAGGGAAGGGAAAGAAGAAAGAGAAGGAGAAGGAGAGAGAGAGAAAGAGAGAGGGAAAAGGGAGGGAGAGAGAAGAGATAACGAGAGAGAGAGAGAGAGAGGGAGACAGAGACAGAGAATGAATGAGAGAGAGAGAATAAGAGAGATAGATAGAAAAAGAGAGATTAGCAGTGTAGGTATAGAGAGAAGAAACTCACCATGGAGAACGGCCTCAAGGAGGGAAGGGGAGAGGGACGGATGCAAGAATAAAGGAGAGATCGTGAAAGAAAGCGAGCGCGATTGAGAGTGAGAGAGAGGGAGAGGGAGAGGGAGAGGGAGAGAGGGAGAATGGGAGACCACAACACCAGTCATTCATTAGATTAGTATGAAGTGGCCAATGAAAGAGGGCGAGAGCGAGAGAGCAAGGGATATGTAGCAGGAATATGACGACATACATGTTGGCGTGAAAGGCATGGCAGGTTTTGTATCAGCTGCTGGCGAGGGAACTTGTGAGGGACTTGCTACTCGAACTTGCTGGCACTTGAGATCCCGTCTGTCCTTGATGGCATTTTGATTGCTATTATCACTTCGTTTCGTGTTATGGAATCTGATTTTAGAATATTCGAATTTGATGTATATTCATGTATATATTTCTTATTTATTTATTTACGCTGTATACGCATTTTGAAAGCTACCGTTGACTAATGCTTTGTTTCTCTTTGTTCCCCAGGTTAAAGTTATAAAGTTTAGTTATATGTGGACGATCAACAACTTCAGTTTCTGCAGGGAAGAGATGGGAGAGGTACTCAAATCCTCGACTTTCTCCGCGGGTGCCAATGATAAGCTAAAATGGTAAGTAATACAGCATTTTTTTTTGTTTGCACACGCGCGCACATATGTACACAAACACGGACGTCAGGTTTCCTGAAATTTCAATAAAATAAATGAATCCCGTGACCTTGGCATTGTTTGTCGCTTCTCACGGTTATCTGTTGGCCTCGACGATACCCTGGATGCCGTTGAGGGCTGCCCTGGAGTGCCACTTCAGGCGCATTGACACTGGCCCCCTTCGGCACCCATAGCTTAGGGCCCCCTCGCCTCGTCGACGCCCCCTCGCCTCGTCGCTTGATCAATAGCAATGTGTACCCTTATGGGCTTTATTTTTGGCTTGCTTGCTTGACCCAATCGCTTTCACATTCATCTTTTTTCGCTCTTCCGTCGTGCAAATACGGAAGTGTTTCGCCATTCGCTTTTTTCTCTCTCTCTCTCTCACGGTATTTCCTTATCCGGTCGGCGATTGTCTCCGTATCTCTCGTCGAGGTAGACTTCACGAAGACACAAATGAGGGAAACTGATCTCTCGGATTCGTTCTCAAAGGCATCGGGGGTATTTTTTCTGCTGCAATTACATGCAATTATGTGAGGATTATGATCGCTGTGAATGATACATACTCATCGTCCTCGCTATTAAGTTCAACATCAAAGGCGTTCGTTGAAGCCACTTTCATATCCGTTTATTCACAGTCCGTGGAGCGTAGTTCACTTTGGGTATGAATCTCCTGTTTTTCTCTCTCGCTGTGTAGGGCGGCAGGCAACGGCGGAGTATTCTGTTCCCTGTTTTGCGTGTAGTTTGTGCAAGATGTCCAACGCGGCTGACATACATTGCTTTGCCAATGAATGAGTGAGTCCTGACGTCACTGCCCGTACGAGGTCAGGGCTGGCAGCAGAAGGGGTAGCCGCGTGACCTGACAAAACAAGACTTTCTACTTGTTTGTTTGTTTTGTTTTTTTCTCTTGCTGAGGAGCTTCTTACCTTGGCGTCCGTCCGCGCTCGCCTCGGCTCGGTCTCTGAAGCTGGTCCTCGAAGCGGCCACGCAGAAGGGCGCTGGGTCTGCTGCGTGCGGCGTGCTGCGTCCACGGGGCTGTGCTTGTGCGACCTTACGCTGTGATGCTGATAAGTGGCCCGCTTGGGAGGTTGCCAGGCGGGCGGGGAGGGGCCGGGGGGGGAAGGGGGAAGGGGAGAGAAGGGAGGAGAGCATGGCAGCTCGGGCGGGCAAGGAGGGAGCAGCTTACCAAGGTAACTAGAACACTTTTTGTCAGCATCCATAGCCTGAAAACGAGGGCAAGTATAACAGGGAGATCGTTTTAACATACGGGACCTTGTACCCCATCACCTGGGGGAGCGCGTATTGCCAATGGGGCCGAGCGACTCGTGTCATGAAGCGCGTTGCTGTGTCATTGAGGCAATCGAGCGCATTGGGGTATGTGGGGTATGTTGACGTCGCTGCTCTGGCATGGCATGGCCCGGGGAACCGCCTCACGTTAAGCGCGAAAATAAGAGCGGCTCGGGGCTTAATCCGCTCGATTGACGCTGTCCGCCGTTCGGTCGAAGGTGCTGAGGCGTTGGTTCTGCTCAAGAGAATTTCTGTGCTGGAGGTTTTGGTGACGTGTGACGCACCTCCGGGGACGGTGACTTCACGCAACGCTCTCTGCTGTGTCTCACGCGAGGCTAAGTGGAGTCGTTCTCTCTCTCTCTCTCTCTCTCTCTCTCTCTCTCTCTCTCTCTCTCTTCTCTCTCTTCTCTCTCTCTCTCTCTCTCTCTCTCTCTCTCTCTCTCTCTCTCTCTCTCTCTCTCTCTCTCTCTGTCTCTCTCTCTCTCTCTCTCTCTCTCTCTCTCTCTCTCTCTCTCTCTCTCACTCTCTCTCTCTCTCTCTCTCTCTCTCTCTCTCTCTCTCTTTCTTTCTTTCTTTCTTTCTTTCACTCACTGTTTCTCTCAATGAAAACCTCTGAAGAATGGAGATAGATGCGATGGTTTTACGTCTGTGAATGAGTTCCACCACATTTTATTCCTCCCTCAACAAGAAAATCATCTCCATTGTAGGACTTCGCGCCGCCCTTCGTGTGAATGCGCTGTGCATGTGCCAAAATGTCCCTGTTGCGATGTCACGTATTTTTTTAGGGGGTGGAGCTTGTTATGAATATCAGCGCATGGCTTTGTGACCCATAATAGCGGGTGGGAGTGTGAGTGCGCGTGGGTTGCTGAGTGTGTCAAGTGCAGCTGATGAGCGGCTAGATAAAGCGGTCACCTGCTGAGGCCGCACACTCCTTGCCCCGCGCTATGTAGTCCAGTAGAATGAGCCTCGATCCGGTGTTTTTTTTATTATTTTTTTCTCCCCTTTCGTCGGGTTTCGTTTTCGTCGTGTAAAAAAAAGGAAAACAAATATGACGTGTGGGGTTTGTTTTTTTCTTCGGGAGACGCGCGGGAAAAAAATGGCGTCTTTGTAGAGATTCTTTTTGTGGGGGAAAATCGCCAGGTCGTGTGCTTCCTCCCTCCACGAGTTCAGGCGGGAAAGATGCTCGGACTTACATGCTTGTGCTTTTGCTTGCTTTTGCTTCATCGATTTAAAATCCTCACGTGGACTGCTTGAGCGAGGAAGCAGCAACAGCGTGTGCGTGTGTGCGTCCCGGCGTGTCCTTCCACCGCCATGCTTGTTTCCTCTCTCTTTGTACCGCGCGTGAAAAAAAAAAACAGCAACTCTGCACACTCCCGCCGATGCTTGATCTGGTTGCAGCATTACTCCCGGCATGGCCACGTTGGAGCTATCTATCGATCGTAAATGCCAGGAGCGGTTTGGGGGGCGGGCGAGGGTGTTCCCACGTGGGTGGCCGAGGGCGGTGACAGCTGGCAACCCCCGTGGATTAAGAACCTCCTCCAACGCTGCGAATTCTAGCCGCCTCGTGCTTTCAGCTTTTAGTCTTCATCATATTACATTTTTCCTTCTCGGTATTATTAGATTGAGGCCGAAGAAGAGGGCTGGGGGAGAGACGTTTGTTTGTGGGCGCCGAATTGTAGGTTTATGGGCGTCTCGCTGAGGTGTGCGCTTTATATTTGCGAATGACGAGTAAGAAGAAATAGATATCAGGTATTTACGGGAGGGAAATCTCTTCCTTATCCCGGGGATCAGCTCGAATAAACCCGAGGAATTTAGGGGAAAAAACAACTTTTTGCGGTTTATTTCGGACGCATGACGAGGAGGGAATGTCGTTCGGTTCAGGTTAGGAAGGTATGGGAGGAGGGGGTCGTCGAGCTTAGGTTGGAAATAGGTCGTTGGTCGTCGACGTAATCGCTCGGTCTGGTCTACGAGTGAATAGGAAATGTACTTCAAGGCTAGAGGAATCGGAAATGGTCTTGAGATTGTATTAATTTGACCGGTTTGAAAGGTACTCCAGTGCTTTTCTTACGTCCGTTATGTATTGGCATGTACATTCGGACCATTCCACCGGGCAAAGAGAACTTACCAGTTGCATTCACAGCCAGTTAGAGGGAGATAGGTGCAGTCCCTTAATAGGCCCCGTTTCCCCGGTCGCCGTGAACCCCGAGGCCTAAGCCCCGGCCGAGAGCGCTGGCTCCGCGCCGGGAATTTTACCCCCTGTGTATGGAGGAGGGAGAGGGGGGGGGGGAGAGGGGGGGGGAAAGAGGGAGGAAGGGAGGGTTGGAGGGGAGGAGAGAGAGGCTGCCAGTAGTGAGGAATTGATCGATTTTGACTTCCTGGGGGCGGGATGGCGATGTTGCGGGTTCAAGTGTTTGGGCGGGAGAGCGGGGACTTTATTATTTTTTTAAGTTTACCTATATAAGCCTGGCCGTTTTGACTTCTTGTGGGACGTGAGGGTGTCACAGGTATCGGCGAGAAGCTACAAGGTCACCCGAATTCCTAAGGCGCTCTCCACCTTAAATACATGACTGTCTGAATTACTTTAACAAAAATACCAAACAAATTAGCCTTCATGTTTATATGTCATGATCATCGGTGTATATTTGAACATTAATTTGAATATGTAAGCTTTTTAACTTATTTTTCTTACCCTTTCCTCTCCTTCTGCAGGTGTTTACGAGTGAACCCAAAGGGCCTGGACGAAGAGAGCAAGGACTACCTCTCTCTCTACCTGCTCCTTGTGTCTTCAAACAAATCTGAAGTTCGGGCGAAGTTCAAGTTCTCAATTCTTAACGCCAAAAGAGAAGAAACTAAAGCTATGGGTGAGTATTTGTGCGAGAGAAAGGAATAGGTTTGAAGTGATAGTTATTTCGGGATGTTAATGTTCAGTTATGTATAGGTAGGAAACTGTTATGAATATAGAGTTGTTTTATTATTTTTGTGTTTTTTTTTTTTAAATATTGTCTTCTTTTTTTCCAGAGAGTCAACGAGCATATAGATTTGTCCAAGGGAAAGACTGGGGCTTCAAAAAATTCATACGGAGAGATTTCTTATTAGATGAAGCAAACGGTTTACTACCTGACGACAAACTTACTTTGTACTGTGAGGTAAGCCACTTCTCTATTCTTGCAGATAAATCCTTTTTGGCTTTATTCTGCTTGCTGGGTTTATTTGTTTTCCTTTTGAGTTTTTGGTTCACGTGCAAGCTTTTTTTTATTTTTTACTTGTTTTTAGAGGTCATGGAACTATTCCAAGAAGTTGTGTTCTTTTTGTTGTCTTATTACTTGTTTTGCTGTTTTGTTTTGTCTTGTTTTCCCCCCAAATTTTGCTCTGTTGAAGGGTGTCCAAGATCATCTCCCCTTTTTTTTCATCCTGAACCATCCAGAAGAAATTCAGTTTTCCTATATATCTTTCTTTCTTGGAATAAGTGAAACAAGTCATGACAATTACTTCCTCTGTGCATCCTCCCTGAAGATCCAATGTGCGCAGGTCTCAGTGGTGGCAGACAGCGTCAACATCTCGGGCCAGAGCAACGCTATCCACTTCAAGGTTCCTGACTGCCGGCTCTCAGATGACCTGGGGATTCTGTTCGAGTCTCAGCGGTTCTCAGACGTTACGCTTTCGGTGGCTGGCAGGGAGTTCCAGGCACACAAAGCAATCCTGGCAGGTGAGTTGGAGGGTCCCCTGTCGTTGTTTGGCTGTTTTTTGGGTGTTTATGTCTGGTGTATATATCCCAGTAGGTAGAGTGGTGTATATGTCCCAGTAGGTAGACTGGGATTTATTTTATTTATTTATTTATTAAATATTGTCCCAGTAGGTAGAGTGGTGTTTATGTCTGTGTATATATCCCAGTAGGTAGAGTGGTGTATATGTCTGATGTTGAGGTTGAGAGACTTTTGAGTAAGATGGAATAACACACTCTGGGGGAAATATATGTACATGTGGGGAAGTAGATGTTCACATGGGGAAATAGATGCACACATAGGGAAAATAGATGTACAGTTACCCCCATTTTTATTAGAAGGGGATGTCATGATATTCGCAAGGGTCAAGTTCCTCATTGGCTTTACCCTATTTTCAGCACGCTCGCCAGTGTTCGCAGCAATGTTCGCTCACGAGATGGAGGAGAGAAAACACAACAGAGTAGAAATTCAAGACGTGGACCATGAGGTGTTACGCGAGATGCTGCGTTTCATTTACACGGGAAAAGCTACCAATTTAGAGAAGATGGCTGATGATCTCTTGGCTGCGGCAGATAAGGTAAAAGTTTTAGATTTTTTCAAGATGGGTTTGCTAATAGATATATTTTCTTTTGAAGATATGTATTATTAATATATTTATATAAATACATCAATATTCTTAGGGATTGTAGAGTGAGATTGCTGTTTTTTTCTTTTCCTCCATGGACGGACCCAGCTTGTCCAGTCAGTTAACATATATATAGATTAAAGTGTTAAGAAATCTTAGCATAGTGTAAAGTAGGGTTCATTAAGATTGGTTATAGTAGTTGCAACATACTTCAGAGCAGTCGAGTTAATGGGCTTTCCTATTTTACAGTATGCATTGGAGCGACTTAAAGTGATGTGCGAGGAAGCATTATGTACCAACCTAAGTATAGAAAATGCTGCTGATGTCCTCATTCTTGCTGATCTCCATTCTGCTGATCAACTGAAGGCTCAAGCGATCGAATTTATCAATACGTAAGTAGGATGAAGAGTTACAAGTTCCTTTGGCTCAGAAATATTTCTCATGACTGTTTGATTCATATTTCATGTCCAGTCTTCTTTGTGTGTTTATCCATGCCATTAATAACTTTTAAGGATATTTTTATACCATTATATATACTCAGTTTGAAGAAATGCAAATCTTGTAGTTCTCTGAAGTACTATTAAATCATGAGATTTCTGTGGTCTGAGATTGATACTAATGATTTTATACCTTTACAGACATGCAACAGATGTCATGGAGACACAAGGTTGGAAATCCATGATTCAGTCTCATCCACATTTGATTGCTGAGGCCTTTCGAGCATTGGCTACTCAGCAGATCCCACCCATTGGACCTCCACGCAAAAGGATAAAAGCCAGTCCCTGAACCCGGTTGGCCAGTCTGCCAGCTTCACTTTCGCTGGCCAGGCCATCACCCCCAACACCCCTGGCCTCCCCACCTGGTCACCCCCTCACACTCGGCCTAACTCAGTGGGTTCTTTTACCATACTATTCAGGACAGCGGAGAGAAAGTGATATGGAAAGAAGTATGGAGGACTGGAGGGCATCCATAGGCCATCCTATAGTGGAGAGTGACCAAGGCCATAAGAAGCCAGTGTGTGGTAGTGGGACCTGGCAGGGGATAGGGACCAGGCCTCTCATCCCACCAGTCAACAGAGTACAATCAGGGGACGACAAGTCCCTGCCCACTCAGGTTGGTAGGGCTGCAGTCCCTTCCTCTACTGCGCCCAACTCCTTCTGCCCCGTGACAAGTCCACCAAATGATCTCAGTGGGGCCTGACCTGCATGTAAAACCTGTCAGTGCATGAGACACTACAGTATGCAGGTGTGCAGGTGCCAGACTCAGCAGTGCATGTGTGTCTGTGTGTAGATATCTGTGATGTAGCAAGTGATAGCCCAGAACATTAGACTCTCGCTACGAGTCTTAGAGCTACCACTCATTACTCTGCTAATTATTGTTGTTGTTGTTAAGTGTGGCACTCTCTTGTCTTTCAAGCCATCAAGCCAGGCAGATATTTGAAAATATAGGCAGGCCCTTCAGGGAGAAAAAAAGGAGCCTTGCATTTGACTGACACCAAAGGAAAACTGGGAAGGACCAAGTGATGTGTGAGCATTGCTTCCTCTCAGTGCACTGTGCTTTTGGCTAGTTATCATATTCTACTCCTGTGACATAGATGATTCTTCATTACCCAATATTTTTGTTTTATTTTACAGGAGAAACAAACATTATAGAAGTCTTGGAAGCATCTTTTTCTATGAAAAATCTGCAATGTACAACTTAAAAATTAGATTGAGCTTTCTTAGGTAGATGCAGTAGGCAAGGTGTACTCTGATTTTGAGAATTTGTTAAGACAAGACAACATTGTAGAGTGTACAGTTAATGTAGAAGATACTGTCTAATTCCACCGATTTCAGCTTTGGCTGATTTGTATTTACAATGTATGTATGTAACATCATGAAGCTTCACAGGGTATTCTCAGTCATTAACATGGAGCCGTGATCAGGAAAGTGTAATTAGTGTAACTGTTTCAAGTGAATGTTGTGTAAAAGTAGAAATGAATGATCAAAACATTTGGTGTAAAATTCAATATACGGTGTGTAAAATGTGAAGAAAAAAAAGAATTTCACTATGAATGATGTATGGAATTATGTCTGAAATATGAAGAGCCTTTGTACCAAGAATTTTGTAATTATTCTCAATGTTTTGTTGTAAGCCAGTCAAAAGTATATCAGCTCCTGTGTTAATCTGTGAAGAGCAGGCAGTGACAATTTGTGCCATGGTGTAGCTTATGAGACAAGCCACCCAGACCACCAACTGGAAGATAAAACAAGTCTGTCACTTTAAGAAAGGAAAAGAAGAGAAATATATAATCAGGTACATTGTACATCAAAGGGTGAGATCAAAATATATACTTATTATTTTTATAGAATTACTCACGACAGCTTGTTTGAAAAATATTTTCCAGTGGGACTCTTCCACCGCTCTGCCATGATACCAACCCAGCATCTATGTATTTACTCAATGCAACAAGACATCTGCATCTTTTCATAATGTAGATGTATTTCTTTCTCCGGGCGTACTGCACTCTGCAATTCATTCAGCAGAATCAGTACTTTCGGGTATGCTCACTCCTTGAGGTTTTCCTCCCCAGGACTCGTTGCTTTATGCTGTACTTTTGTGGTTAACTCTATAGGAGTTTTTTACAACAGTAACAACAGTAACCAAGGGAAATCTTAGCTCACTTGATGTGCTGTAACTACTATTTAGTAAACCACAGAGGCACAGCCAGTATATCACTCCACAACCATTCCTCTATTTGTAAATCAAACTCATATACAAACTGCAAGTTTTGTAACAATAGTCATGCAACAGTTCAAATATTCATATGTTAATTTATGTTTTCCAGTACAAAGTGAGTTTCCTCATCTTCAATTTGTAACNCGAAAAAAAAAGAGATGCGTCTCAACTGAAAAAATAGAGAACTAACGAAAAAAAAATGAGACGCGTCTAACGAAAAAAAAAAATGAAAACGCGTCAAAAAAAAAATGAGAAGCGTCTAACGAAAAAAATGAAGAGATGCGTCTAACGAAAAAAAATGAGACGCGTCTAACGAAAAAAATGAACGCGTCAAAAAAAAAATGAGAATCGTCTAACGAAAAAAAATGAGAATGCGTCCCGAAAAAAATGAGACCGTCTAACGAAAAAAAATGAGATGCGTCTAACGAAAAAAAATGAGACGCGTCAAAAAAAAAATGAGAAAGCGTCTAACGAAAAAAAAATGAGATGCGTCTAACGAAAAAAATGAGACGCGTCAAAAAAAAATGGCGTCTAACGAAAAAAATGAGAAGCGTCTAACGAAAAAAATGAGACGCGTCGCGTCTAACGAAAAAAATGAGATGCGTCTAACGAAAAAAAAATGAGACGCGTCAAAAAAAAATGAGACGCGTCTAACGAAAAAAATGACACGCGTCAAAAAAAAATGAGAGAGCGTCTAACGAAAAAAAATGAGATGCGTCTAACGAAAAAAAATGAGACGCGAAAAAAAAAAGAAGCGTCTAACGAAAAAAATGAATGCGCGAAAAAAATGAGACGCGTCAAAAAAAAATGAGAACGCGTCTAACGAAAAAAAATGAGATGCGCGAAAGAATGAGATGCGTCTAACGAAAGAATGAGATGCGAAAAAAAATGAGATGCGTCTAACGAAAAAAATGAGACGCGTCAAAAAAAAATGAGAAGCGTCTAACGAAAAAAAATGAGATGCGTCAAAAAAAATGAGAGCGTCTAACGAAAAAAATGAGATGCGTCAAAAAAAATGAGACGCGTCTAACGAAAAAAATGAAAAAAAAAAAATGAGACGCGTCTAAAAAAAAAATGAGATCTAACGAAAAAAATGAGATGCGTCTAACGAAAAAAAATGAGACGCGTCAAAAAAAAATGAGACGCGTCTAACGAAAAAAATGAGACGCGTCAAAAAAAAATGAGAAGCGTCTAACGAAAAAAAATGAGATGCGAAAAAAATAAGCGTCTAACGAAAAAAATGAGATGCGTCAAAAAAAAAATGAGATGCGTCTAACGAAAAAAAAATGAGACGCGTCTACGAAAAAAATGAGACGCGTCTAACGAAAAAATGAGACGCGTCTAACGAAAAAAATGAGACGCCTCAAAAAAAATGAGATGCGTCTAACGAAAAAAAAATGAGATGCGTCTAACGAAAAAAATGAGACGCGTCTAACGAAAAAATGAGAGCGTCTAACGAAAAAAATGAGATGCGAAAAAAAATGAGATGCGTCTAACAGAAAAAAATGAGACGCGTCTAACGAAAAAAAATGAGATGCGTCTAACGAAAAAAAAAAAAAAAATGATGCGTCTAACGAAAAAATGAGATGCGTCTAACGAAAAAATGAGATGCGTCTAACGAAAAAATGCGTCTAACGAAAAAAAGAGCGTCTAACGAAAAAAATGAGATGCGTCTAACGAAAAAAAATGAGACGACTCTAACGAAAAAAATGAGAAGCGTCTAACGAAAAAAATGAGATGCGTCTAACGAAAAAAAAATGAGACGCGTCTAACGAAAAAAATGAGACGCGTCTAACGAAAAAAATGAGATGCGTCTAACGAAAAAAATGAGACCGTCTAAAAAAAAATGAGATGCGTCTAACGAAAAAAATGAGATGCGTAACGAAAAAAAATGAGATGCGTCTAACGAAAAAAATAGAAACGAAAAATGAGATGCGTCTAAAAAAAAAATGCGTCTAACGAAAAAAATGAGATGCGTCTAACGAAAAAATGAGATGCGTCTAACGAAAA